TAATAAATCAGGGGCAAACTAAGACAAACATAATTTATTAACAATAACACAAAACTAAACACAAAATGTTACAAACATACAACATTAAATGTTATGCTATTTGCAAAACAATGCGGATCAGAGGCCTATGTTCAACAGACCCAGAAACCCAGAACGCTAATCCTGTAACCTGAAATCCTTTAAATTGCCTTAACATGCCAACAAGAGAATTACCCTGCAACCTATGGTAAATAAAAAAATACAACACAGTACTAAATCTCTCTTCCCATATATTAGATGCTTAAAGTGAATGTGAAGTTCCATATCCCCCCCATTCTAAAAATGCTCTTAGTTTTTCTCAATTCCTTAAATGGAATTCCTGAAATAGCATTGACAATGTCAAAACAGTAAACAAATATCCCCAAACTCAATTGCAGGTTGTAAAATAACATTACTAATGTAAAATGCCCTAAGACACTGAATATTCTTTCTACAAGGCTCAAAAGCAGCATTGGTAAATAAGCAGCTCTCATTCTCTGAACTGCGCTATACAAAATACTAAGTATTCATATCAGTACGACCTTGTATGCATGCTCCTCCACCATAGGTCTAACTGATACTGGATATCGTGGAAAATGTCATTACTGTATCAGTAGTGTTGCTGTAAATAAGCATGTTTCCCATGCAAAAAACAATATATTCAGGAACAGGTTTCCAACAGTTTTCATTGATTAAAAATGAAACCAATACACATGGCACAAATAGTAATAACGTGCGTGGGACAAAAGGTGTCTGGGACTGAATTGATCTGTATTGCACTGTGTCACAGTTACACTGAACGGCCGGTGTAAGTGAAATAAAGTAAAACAATGTCATATTGCACAGCTCTCCCTCCCAGACAGCCAGCAGAAATACAGTAAACAAACATGAGTGGTCCACCTAAATGAAAGCCAAACTGTGAAAGAAAATAAATGATCAATTGTACACATCTCACTGCTCATCCAGTCTCCTCACAGCTGGACCGCAGATCTTCATCCGCATCGCATCACTGTGGATTCCCTCATCCCCATGGCGGGGATGTGGGCCTTGACACCATCATGTGACACGGCAGCACTCGCGGCTATATCACCCTCATGCTGTCCGGGCACATTCAGTGAGACCCTGTGTCCAGTAAGCTTCCTGCCACAACTCCAGGCCTTGGTCAAGTTGAAGCCTCATCTACACACTCCTCCACTTTCACCTTCTTCTTCCTTGTACCCTCCTCCTCAGCTCTTCCACCATGCACTGTACTCCTCTTCCTCTTCCTCTTCCTCTTCCTCTTCCTCTTCCAGCTACTTGTTCCTGCTCCATCTTACAGCAACACTAATTTACTGGTGACCTAATGCAAGTGTGCTTCAGTACTGACTGGTCGTTGAACGATTTTACAGCTGTGAGCTAAGATGTGAACACACCTGGGAGTCATAGTTTTCAAACGTGAAAGAATTCATTTTGTCCTAAAAGGCGCAATCGATTGGTTTGTCTGTCAATTGCGGAGATCGGTATTCACTGCTTTGCACAAATGTGTTCAACATAAGCATTTTGTGTGAACACAATCATAAATGATATATACTATTTCACAAATCACGCTACTGTTGTGGGGTTTTAATGAACTGTTTTGAAAATGCAGATAAAGTTTCAGGAATTGTGTTTAAGCAATTGAAAAAACTCAGTTCAAGTTTTATTTCTTTTTTAAAAAAAGTAAGGTCATCCAGAAATGGTAGTGTATTTAATTGGGTTTTAATTTAAAGTTGTTACTGTGATAGATCCCTTTTCATTACACTTAACTGATTTCTAGAAACGCTAACATCCACAGTCTAATTGTGCTTAATGTGACAGCTCTTTAGTCAAAATACTATCACAGCGAAAACTAATTCTCAAAATCACTAACATGATAATTGCAACTGGTAGTTTCTATGCTCTCAAAAATGTACCCCTGATTCTGTACCACTAAGTCTGATCAGTTCCTTGAAGATCGTCTTTGATCATGTGTTTACCAGCCTGTAAACTCAGATGTAACTGAGTAAACAGCTGAGTTTCTACCCATTTTTTCTACATTTTATGACAACATTAGAAAGTCTCAATTTACTTGTTACCTAAATAGTTTAATGTGATATATTCTACAACACATTTTTGTCCTTTTAGGAAAAGCAAGTGCCCATAGCCTCTGAAATTACTGCCACATACTGTACAGTGGTGTGAAAAAGTGTTTGCCCCCTTCCTGATTTCTTATTTTTTTGCATGTTTGTCAGACTGAAATGTTTCAGATCATCAAACAAATTGAAATATTAGACAAACATGCAAAAAAATAAGAAATCAGGAAGGGGGCAAACACTTTTTCACACCACTGTATCTACCTTTATAACTTACAGTATGTATATAATAAATTATGTCACAGTGTGACAAAGACACAACACATACAGAGAGCGCAACCAAGGAGTTCACTGAGAGGAAAAAGCGGAAAATCTCAGACTGATCAAATCAGTTTCCGGTTTTAGATCCATTTGAGTATGCATTTTACATTTTTAAGAAAATAAAATGAAAAACAGGAATACTGTAGGTAAAAATTCAAAGGCTGTAGAAAAGCATATTTTGGTGAGCTCTGCTGAGTTATTGTCTCAAAAGGATATGCAAACAAATCCTAATTTTTATGCTCTGAAGTTTATTTACAATGAATTTATCCCATAATGACAGTACGTTCACTTGAAATCACAAAGTATATTTTTCTAATAAGAGCAAATGTACGCATGGAATTACAAAATATAAATATTATATTGTAACTTATCATAATCTGGTGATGACAAATACACAAAAAAAAAACAGTTCTGATTGCTGTCCCAATCCCAGGTCACAGTATATCCCTGTTTAAAAAGTCCTAACAACCAAGCACGACCAAGCACACTGCCTTAAAAAGTCAGAAATAGGGCTGGGCGATATGGCCAAAAACATTATCACGATAAAAAATTTCATATCAGTCGATATCGATAATAATCACGATAAATGTCAAATCATTATTTCTTTCAAGTTTAAAAGCAGATTTTTTCTCCTGAGTGAAAGTTGAAGAAACCAGACAGTTAATTGGTAAATTAAACACAACATACACTTGCCAAACAGCAGAAACATTAAACAAATCTGTTACCTGTCCGGTCTGCAACATGCACGGGCACTCGCGCACATGCGCACAGTATTTTGTCTGCATGCGCAAAGCATAAACATATATATCGAACATATATCGAACTTTTGTTAAAATTATATCGAGGAAAATGATATCGCGATAATTATCGTTATCGAATGATCGCCCAGCTCTAGTCAGAAACAAATTATATTCTTGTATCAGAAATTAGCGATACATTAGTGTTAAAAATGAGTGCTTTCCAGACATTTTAATGGTAAGGAATCCCTTCCCAAATTATAATATTTCTGAACTTACAGTAAAAGCCAACAACAACTTAATGTATTCTGCTGAGCTATATTAAAGCGTCGTAATAGTTCAATATTTTGTCAAATGTAAGCACAGGAAATACATACTCCTGGTCTCTAAGACATATTCACATCTTTTTCCTAAGCAAAGCGTTCCCTGTTCTACTAGTGGTTTTGTTGTTTGTTATTCTTGGCCTCGTCTTGCCTGTCACAGCTCATTTTACAGTCTGATGGTATCTGTATTTGCATTACCAGAGGAACAATTGCTGGAACTGATTGTGTGATTGAGGGGAGTGGAGTCATCCGTCTGTCATGTAAAATCACATGATGTGTTACTTCACAACATTTGTGAAAAAAACGTTTTTTTTCTCCCACAGCTTCTGTCAGCAAGCGCACCAAGTCTACTGTGCCATAATTAGCCACCTCTTTGCCACCATTATTGCATCTCTACAGGCGGTGACACACAGTGCTAGATTGTTTAATCTGCCCCTCAAACTGAACAATGGTCTTACCAGAAGACATGAAAATTATTTTTGTACTTCAATGCCTCCAAATGAGCTCCTCTTGTATCAAATGTTGCCTGTACGAAACACGCACAACTAAAACTGAATTCTGCTATGAACCTTAAGTACAGTATAACTATTCTCTTTCTGTTAGAAAGGAATGCGGTTTAAGGTACAGTTTGTGCTGCGCTACTGTAAAAACTGAGTTAAAAACAAGTGATACAATCCTACTCTGTGAGTCACCCCTTGTAAGTGCATTACATACAGTACTACAGTTTATACTAACAAGGGGCAATTTACAGTATATCAGACCCACATACAGTGTCACGCCTTCTTGCACAGACAAAGCTCCAAAGGAATCATGTTATGGATTCCCTGCTAAAGAAAAAAACAGTTAACATTGTCTCACGCAAAGCAATATTTTCTGCATATATTACGTTTAACTTTAAATCCAGTGGGAATTAAACATCTAAAAAATACACTTTGATGTCTTCCCTCTTCATGCTACCTACTGCACACACCACCTAGCAATTGCCACACTCACACATACATGAAAAACTACATTCGACAGCCTTCTGAAGACAACGTTCTGGGTTGTATTTATTAACAATAACTACAAAGCCCATACCAAGACTTTCATGCCAATTGAAAGCAGGACCCATGACATGTGGTCAGCAAATTTTAATAAGACGTACTGTACTTTATGTTAGATAAAGGATTTTTACAATTATAATGAATTCATTTACATATCAAAATATTTAATCCAGGCAGTTCTCGGGGTGATTTTTTTTTTAAAGAAAAAACTTTTAAAAGTTCAAACACTTTGAAAAATGTGGCATTTTAACTGAAAAAAAGTTGGCGTTATAAATTATCTGAGACGTGGGGACAGCAAAAGAAATATGCTACAACCTTAAAGATAATTAGAGCATTTTAGATGCATGATGCTACGCGTCATGGGATTTACTGTGCTGTATATACTGTAAAACGTCTGATTTTTACAGCAGGATTATTGGATTTTGTGTGTTTTCTTAGCATGACGCAAATGCGCAGAGGGCTACTTACTCGCTGTTTTCTGCGTGCTGTAGATGAATCAGAGCAAGACTCATTTTTCAGGGTCCTTGCGTCTGCTCTGCATCTCGCTGATGAACTGGCAGCGCCGCCAGCCCAGTCGACTTCCCATCGCTTAAGTATCTGCAATGCAGTTCTTCAAGTCCGAGCGCCGTGAGCCAGAGTCCACTCTGCGGCTTCCCAACTTTCCAGGTGTGAGATGGGATCTCGATGCAAAAACGGGATCTCTGAAGAAACCCGTGCCAAGCGTCGAAAGGAAAGCCAAGCCAGTGCTGTACCTTGCTTTCATTTGTGAATGTCAGGCCTTGAGAGAAGGCAAAAAAAAAAACTTTGAAAAAAAGTCGATTCACACTTGGTCGGTAACAATTCTGAGTCTGATAAATTGTAAGGATCACAGGATATGATACTGTATATTGCGAGGGTATTATATTATACCTGAGCGTTCTTGAATGATAAAAAAGTTAATAAAAATGTTTTAAAAAGCGAACTTCGTCATCAGTAAAGGCTCAATTGCACAGCAGTTTAAAATTTACAATAAAAGTTAATAATATAGCAGTGATGTCGGTGTAAACATAACAGTATTGAATAAGCGGGGCAGGCTGAAACTGATGTATTTTTATCCACCTAGACAGGCACTTTCACAGTAGGGATCCAAACAGGAGAGACTGAAATTAAGCACAAACACGAATGTAAATTCAACAGAGCAGTGACAGTCTGGATTCCCATCAATCTTGTAAATATAATCCAGTTTGCAGAGACCCCCGGAAACCATGTTAAAATATATGTATAACAATTGTATATTCCCTTTGATGTGAAAGCATCTTTTGTTTTCTAATACTTTAGGTCTGTTTATGTAGATTTACATGGCTGAGCAAGGAGTCACGGTTAGTTCTTCACAAGTACAAAGTGATCGTTATCAATTTAGCCATCAGTGTAATGAAAATTAAATTCAGAATTATTATCGATGTTTTGGCATTTCTGCTTATCTCAATCGTTGCTCATTTGTGGTAATGAACGGAAGAGGACTGCCGTTTTGTGAAAACACTGACGCTATTAAATTAGTAGATTACAAAGAATATCTAAAGAATGGTTGTGTCTTCAATTACTGTACAGAGAATACTTCAGGTTGAAGAAAAATTAAATAATGGCCTTACTAATTACCTTCACTGTGCATTAATCGTTGTTTTTTAATCGCCAGTTGACGGAGTTTTGACTTTGATGGATAATTTTTTTTATTGTTTTAATGTTTTAAATTCAAATAAACTAAAGGAACGTGTTGTTTTTTATTATTTTACAATACACAGCCCTACATTCACTTGAGAAACGGATTACAATACCATGTACATGTTTTGGAAAATAGTGTTTCTTTTTTTTGTCATTTTTGGAGTATTAAGAATATTGATACGTAAGGAAGATCACAGAAGAATGGAGGCCATTAATTCCACCAATCTCATTTGATAGTTGGTAGCTAATTGATGCATTGACCCACCCCTTTCTTGATGAAGTTGAATGAAGCCCACAGCAGCTCTGGCAACATGGCTGAGTAGCTGCTTCCTGAATCCCACAATCCTTTGTGTGTGAAAAGGAGTTTCCCCTGTGATAAACGCACTTCCAACACAGTTTCAACCTGTGTCCTCCACTTTGTGTTCCACCGTCGAATCTGGAGAAGTCTGCTGGGTTCACCTTGTCAGTGGCTTTGAGTTCTGAAGCCTAATTGGAATTAAGTTAATTGTTTATTAGAATAAACAAAATTGACCTGTTTGTTCTTCTATGGACTGATTCCAGAGATTTGTTTTTGTGAGTACTCGGTATTCTAAATGGGGTTTTGTTATTGCTTAACATGACATCCCTTGACTTGCATTGTCTGGAAGATGGGGATGTTTCAACATAAACACTGATGACTTTGTTTCATAAGGTTGTTTAAGTGATTAAATTAATATAAATGTCATCCAGTCAAACCTTCCTATTCCCTGTCTTAAAGAGAGTCCCTTTTGGTTCCCAGCTGTGACCCTGTGTGGTTGCTTCCCTGGTGAGATTGAGTTGACCCTATCTATATATACCTTAGGGTTTTATGTGCTTGGATCTAAGCAAACCCCCTTTGTTCTAGACTGAAGAGATTTATCTCCTTTAACCTATCTGTGTATGACAATCCCCTGAAACCAGGAATCAATCTCGCTGCTCTTCTTTAAACATTTTCTAAGGCTATAATATATCCTTTTGGTGCTACGGTGACCAATACTCAACACCATATTCTAAAAGATCTTACCGTAGTTGTGGGTTAAAGCTTGAACATAACCTTCCTTGATTTAAATTCAAGACTTTCTGCTATATACATGTACCCAAGCATTTGACTTGCTTTTTTGTTTTGACGAGGACATAGATCAGCGTTTTTCTCAACTGGTGTGCTGTCAGATACTAATGGGCTTGCCATACAGTATGTTTTGTGAAATGTTCTAAGTTGTGTTGCACATCAGGTATATACAGTACACACTAGACACAGGCCAAGCTCTAAGACTGTACAGGTGGGCATCTCATGTGGTGCAAGTTCACCTTTCCAGGTTTGATGGGCACTAAAATGGAGAAGATCTGAGAGTAATAAAGGGCTTGGACTGGTGACATGTACGGGAGGGAGATGTGCCACAGAATTTTCAGAGTTGGCATGTGTGCTGTGGGATGAAAATGATTAAAAAACACTGACGTACTGTAGAATCATCTCCAAAAACACCCAGATCCCTTTCGTGTGCGTCTTCTGCAGTTCTGAATCACTGCATCACTGTGAAGAGTGAAGACTCCCATTACCTTGTAGACCACTTTGGATGTACAGTATCAGTACTAAATTTAATTTGCCATGCGTCTCCTCCCGAGTTTCTCCAAACCTCTTTGTTTTACAGTTATTATAACTGCCTTGCTTCTTTTTCTGTTTGCCTCTCCTGCTATTTTTGTATCTGCTGCACATGCGCTAGACATATTGTTCATATTGTGGGAAGGCTTGAGGAGGGTTCATCAGGGACCTGAGATCTACTATAAGTGTTCACAATCTTAACCTGAGGGATCTCTCGTAATTTAATCTGATAACTTTGTTTTATTCTGTTCTTTTTTTATAAAGAAATATTCAATGTTGAATACAGAAATGGGTGAAAAAGTCAGGTTGTGACTTAAGTTTGGACTAGACATCAATAGCTTCTACCCACAAGCAGTGCGATTGGTGAACACATTTGGTCATGCCCCTCGGACCACACCTACACCATCTACTTCATTATAATTTTATTTATTGCATATCTGCAGTCATTGTTTATACAGTATGTCTGCATTGTTTACATTCAAACTTTTTACTTGTTTACTTGTACATTGTCAATTGTTTGTTTGTATATTGTCTTGATACACTGTCTGCAGTTTTTATTTTACACTTTTCGAGAGACTTTCTGTCAGTAAGAATTCCATTGTACCAGTACATGTACTGGTTACATATGGCAATAAATATGTATGTGCTATATTTAGCCATGTTCGAATGTATCCATACCCTGTGGCACTTAAATGCGTTAAATTACACTGAAAAACATAAGCTAAAGAATCAGTACCTCATCATCATAGGGAAAGTCAGATAATTGTCAGAATACCTAAGTTAAAAGATTAGAAGATTAGTGATCTCAACAACTCTAATGATGACCATCACTAGAAACAAATCCAGTTTGGGCTGCAGTGTCTATCATCAAGACATTCAAGGTTGATTGAATAGTTGGTTCTTCACCAGAAAGAGAACTTAAGAAATGTTACCCAAATGTGATTCAGAAAAATGAACTGAGAAGCTGAAATACACCTAAAGGCAGTGACTGTGAATCTTCAAAAAAAAACTTTTGATTCCTCATTAGGACCAAGAGTGTCTATGTCTCTCATTTGAGGTTGACCTCATAAATCTTCGGTCTGTCGTTGAGTTTCCACGGCAGCATGAAACTGTCCCAACAGCACAAACTGACTCCAAAGTCAAACGGGGCCAGACAGTGTGCTTTGTAAGTAGTATGATTAGCACAGAAAAAGGGAATAACATGTTAAGCACTGATAGGCTGTAAGAACTTGAAAAGCTCAAGAAGCTTTTCTGTCTTGAGCACAAGAGATTAAGAGGGGGCTTGATACAAATATTAAAAATCTGCAAAGTCATTGCAGCGGACGTCTTTGGACTGAATGGTGAAACACGAACCAGGGCATGTAAACAGATGCTATGTTCTATGCTTTTGTTCTCAGTTAAAACTGCTTCACAATGCACCTCCTCAGTTTTATCAAAGCCAAAGCAGAAAATAAAGGGTCTGAATAAATCGAACATCGTGCATTTAGAAATATATTTTATAAAAATAACCATTTTTGACGGATGTTCAATTTATACAAACAACCTTGAAAGTTACACAAGTTTTGTGTTTGTCTCCATTAACAAATACTGTCATCATTAAAAGAAATACAGTTCATTGTTGCTGTGAATAAATTTGAAAAGTCCTGTAGACTTTGGGAAAAAAGCTAGATCCTGTCGGCTCTAAATCCCAGCTTGTGCCCTTCGTCTCCCAGGACGGGCACCAGCTCTACTGGATTGGATGGATGGTTTTGGAAAATGGACGATGGATGGAAATTAGTAGTGCCAGATAGCATTGAGGAAATTTGTGAGAACTCCTGCCAAGGCCGCACTCTAGTGCCCCCTGGTGGCTAGGAGAAGAAATGCATATGCCTAGATATGAGATCCTAAAGGGACTGTTATTTATTATTTCGGACTAGCACTGTAGTTTTTGTTTGTTCTTTTACAAAGTTAACAAGGTTTTTATCTAATCCTAAAGTCATATTGGTTTCTGTCTGCTGTTTACTCACTCTACTCCTGACTGGGCCCAAGAACATTCACATAAAGATAGTATTTCAGTTGTTCCAAGTTATCCCTGCTGTTTTAAGACAGAGCAGACACAATCTGATAGTGTTCAATCTCACCATCACTTTCAGTGACCATTGCAAAAGAAGCATGACAAAACATGCACAGATGGTCAAGGAGACTCATGGTGTGGGCCATATGGCTCATCTCGAGACCTATTCTGATGTGTTGTAAAAATACCAAACAACAGGTCCGTCATTAAATAAGCTGCAACCCCAGTTCTTTGCCTTGATCAAATCTCTTTTGTTTTAAATTTGTTTACACATTGATTTGCAAAACAAAGAAACTGTTTGTATGGAAAAAAGGTTTGGTCATATGATATTCTGAATATTCTATTGTACATTTCACAGGCATGGAAGACACGCATAGTTGGTGGGTAATTTAAATATTTTTAAGAAACAGTATTGCAATAAATATTGTAATTGTTATTTACTTTCAATGTCCTTGACTATTTAGCATACTTCAAGTTTCCTCATAGTATTATCTGTTGAAAACTGAAGAGGTTCAGTTCCTTTAGTCTGTCAGCACAAGACACTCCTTTGAGCCCAGGAGTGTCCAGAGCAGCCATGTCTTTCCTATATCTTGGTGAGCAAAACTGTACACAATGTTCTACATGACGTTTTACTGGTGCGTTGTACCGTTTTAGCACAATGTTACTTGATCTAAATTCTATACCCTTCAAGTATATTTGTTTGACAA